CTGGAAAACAGAGCACAGCGGAATTATTGACGAGTGAGACACATCACTGATTAGCCAAACAACAAAGTGGAGCACATTACACACCAGCTAACAGACTGAGCAGGACACACACACACACACACACACACACACACACACACACACACACGCGCACACACACACACACACACGTATATATTTAGAGCGCTGAACAAAAGTCTCATGGAAGGACAAAGCTTTGCTGGGTGACACTGATACATCTGAACACCACATTTTCTAAACAGATCACATGATATTTATATCAGGTATATCATTAATGAAGTTAATGTGAGTATTAAAAGCATTAATAACTAAGCATTAATAAGTTGGTATTAAATTAATATTAATTCATTAGTATATGAATTAACGCTATAGGTTAGCGTTAGAGATTAACAGCATTAAATTAGCAATAACATTAATAACTTAGAATTGATGGTGATAATAAATGAGCCTTAATAGCATTAACATGAATAATTGAGTATGAATGGTGCTAAAGTAGCATTAAGCACATTAAAAACTTCACATTAACGCTGTTAATAAGCGAGTGTTAAGTGTTAATAAGTTGATGAAGCCATACATGAATTAAGTTAATAATTCAGCACTAACAGCAGTAATAATTTGGCGTTAAGATATCGTTAACAATGTTAATGAGTTTATGCTTTAATAAAGTTAACAATGATATTAATAAAGAAATCTGAATTTGAATGATGCTACATACACACTATAAACAGGCTAACAGTCCTGCAGTGAGACGACGTCACGAGTGTACAACAAACTTCAGCGCCGTTATATTCCGACACCAGCTGCTCAAACTGCAGCGTTAAGGCTTATTTACACTCAGCGTTAAATACGTATACAGACGGAGCTTCTCTCCCTACTCTGCGCTCATTATGTCCATATTTGTGCTCGTTCTCTGAAATTTTACGGATGCGGACGAAACGGAGCAGTACCATCAGAAGCCATGGGGGGCAGTGTAGTCCATACGCTACGAAGTATTTAACGGCCTCACAGTCCGACGCCGCAGTCTACACTGCTGCCTTTCGTAGTTGGTACATTATCGCAACCTCCTCCACCGTCGCCACGTTTGTTGTTGTCAGAAACTTTGACTCTGGACCGCCCTCTAGTGGACGCTCTGCTTAACATCCATGCCGACGTATACATGTATGAGGGCAGTGACGGTTACATCGATTGAAGTGCCGCTGGATGGAGCACGCGGGTCCGTGTGGGGGGTTTTGTCCTTTCAGTGAGGTCAGTCTTATTGTGCGCAGCAGCGTTACCGCGCAGCTAGTATTATTCATATTATGCCCTCATAATTCAGAGGATCCAGTGATATTCGGGGGAGAGTGTACAGAAATCAGACAGAATCAGCTGTAAGACAGATGAATGTATGTAACGCTTATTTGAATTAATCGAATGTTGAAGCAGTGGACAGTCAGGTGCTGGATGACCTCCTGTGACAGTATGAGAGTGATGTGATCTCTACTGTAGTTCAGTACTGACAGAAAAGTCTTCTGTCTTGTTCAGAACAGAAATAAAACTTACAAACTTTTAAACGGCCGTCTCCACGGCAACTGCGCACAAAGCAGGAACGTTAAAATGGGAAGACGGTAATTACCCACAGTGGCATGTCAACAGACGCTCCAGATGGATGGAGATGGAGTGATGGAGGAGCGCCAGAAGAAAAGAAAAGCCTCCTCTCACTCAATCCCACAGAGAGAGAGAGGGAGAAAGAGAGAGACAAAAAGAAGAGAGAGAGAGAGAGAGAGGGAGGGAGAGAAAGAGAGAGAGAGAGAGAGAGAGAGAGAGAGAGAGAGAGAGAGAGAGAGAGAGAGGGAGGGAGAGAGAGAGAGAGAGAGAGAGAGAGAGAGAGAGAGAGAGAGAGAGAGAGAGAGAGAGACGGACAGATATAAAAGTGACACCCACCCAAACACACAATCTATAAAAAATTTGCCCAGCTTATAAACATCTTTTTATTTTTCCCTTCATTTTCTTTATACCTCATCTTCAAATGCTATTCTTATCTTTCATTTATGAATAGAGACAGACAGTCTTAGGCCCAACCCCATTTCACCTCTCGGCCCCACCACTCAGCCCTTACCCCTCTGTTTTGTGTGTTCTCGTCTAGGGGTAGGGTGTCCTGATTCTTGTTGAGATAGAGGGGGGGGTGAAGTGTTGGGGCTACATGACCCTCCAAACGGAGGTTTTTCAGAGACTCCAAATAGAGAGTTATGAGAAAATGAGAAAAAACTGGCAAGATGGAGAACAAGAGACCAAAGAAACACACAAATGTGAGAATTTACTCTGTTAAAATTTACAATAATCACTGTTTTCTCTTAGTTTAATGTCATTTCAGCGTATTATGCTCCTTTTCTTCATAACAAGCAGAAATGTCCAGTACTATGCTGATGTTTCAGTAAATTCGCTGTTCCACCTTAAATAGTCCAGCAGTTACATTCTGGCACCTCAGGTATCACAACTGCTGCTCCATTTAAGGTGGAACAGGAAAATTCAAATAAGAATCTGGTGAATATCTGACTTCAGCTTCATAACACTGAAGAATTAGGGGTGGGTGATAATAAATAATTGCCCCCCTCTTTGAAGATCATATGATTCCCTAAATGTAACTAAAGCCCAGCAGTGAGGAGCTGAACTTTACCCTCCTCTGCTGTCACTGCAGACTGGCAGGGTCGCCTACAGAGCAGCGCTGGTAGCTGTTAATGAAGTGATGCTCTTTTTATTTGAGGGTCCCATAGAGGAAGATTTCAACCACTACCCTGTAACTCAGTTCCAAGGGGCAACACTCGAAAACAAGGGGTAGGGGTAAAAATAAGAAACGGGATCAGGCTTTAGTTTGAGCATTTTGGGTAGGACACATAGTGGAAAAATGAGGGAAAGACGATGAAATAAAATAAAAAAATGCTGATCAGTCAAATGTGTTTCTGCTGGGGTGTGTGTGTGTGTGTGTGTGTGTGTGTGTGTGTGTGTGTATGCGTGGGTGTGTCATCAGTCCTGCTGGCAGGCTGTAATTATATAATAAAGTGTAAAGGCCTTTTCCTCTGCACGCCGAACGAGAAAGATCACAGTGTCCTAGTTTAGCTTTAGCATTAGCTATAAATCTGGCAGGACACACCGCAGCTTCCTGCGCGCTTCGTACTGTCGGCTGTTATGAAATCCAAACACTGCTGTTATTACAGTCTGATCTGCTCTAACAGAGAATTTATGACTCATTTCTCTGGGAACACAGTGCAAAATATTAAACGTGATTTTATAAAAACGGACCCAGTTCTGAAAACTCAATTGCAGTGAGGTGAATGTATCTGTGTGTTTCATTGAGTTCTTTATTAAAAATGTGTTTTTTAAAAAAAGTGTTTAAATTGAGCAACATGCTAAACACGCTCCTCTATTAGTATCCTAATAGGCTTTAAATTAAAGCTCGAAACATATAACTGTGTACAATGTCTTTGTGTGCTGTAGCACTAACATCAGCCCAACCCCTGAAAAACAGCCCAGCCCATCATCCCTCCTCCACCAAACTGTACTGTTGGCTCTGCATTCCGGTAGGTAACGTTCTCCTGACATCCACCAAACCCAGATTCATCATCAGACTGACAGATAGAGAAGCTGATTCATCACTCCAGAGAACACGGTTCCACTGATCCAGAGTCCAGCGGCGGCGCTTTACACCACTCCAGCCGACGCTTGGCATTGAGCATAGTGATAATAGGCCTGTGTGCAGCTGCTCAGCCATGGAGACCCATTTTATGAAGCTTCTAATGCAGTTTTAAGGGACTTAAACACAAACTCAATAATTAAAGTGGTGTTCAGATACTTTTAGCCATATAGTGTACATCAAATTTGGTTATGAGTTATGCTTTGCACCCCTTCTCAACGGGGCTGAGCCTGATGATTGTGAGTGCACTGAAAGAGAAATCAAAGAGCACCCGGTCAAATCTTGGTGAAGTATGTATCTTCCAATGACGCGAGTGAATTATCTACTTGATTTTGAGATCATTTGAGACTTAAGCATCAAGCCGAATGTACGTTAACATGTAAAGACGCCTTTAATACGTCTGATAAACTCCTGGAAAATCTAACCACGGCCTACAGAACTTATAAACGGAGATGCATCAAGAATTTATCGTTTCATTGCAGCACCCTGAGGTGAGCTTTTCTCAGGACTCACAACCCAGCGCCCATTCTCAGATATTACACTGATGCTTTAACAATTTCAGGTGAGCACATTTTTGACACGTACACAAACCCAAATGCAGGTGTTTCCCTGGCGACGGGCCACGAAAGGGCGAGGGCCAGGCTCTTATCTAATTACACCCTCCATTCTAGCCGACACACGTGTCACTATCACGCATCAAAGGAGAAGCAGCTCAGGAGCTGAAACGTGGAATATAGGCGGAGTGAATCATCAGAGAGCTGCTCAGTGCTCCGTCGCCGTGGCAACTAGAAACTGAATGGAGGAGAAGTCTGTCTGAGTTACTGTACAAACTACAGGTGGGTTTTTCAACCAACACGTTGACATTTGGGTTTATCACATAATGAGGAGCAGATCTAGTACGTGTGCTGTAAGACGACGCCAGACTGCAGAGGCAGTAACTCGATCTGTCTGACACAAAGGCCGTCTTACGCGTTCTTTCCGACATGTATGGACCTGTCGAAGGCTTCTCAGTCTCCTCGCGGCCTCTTTTCCCCCCTCACATGAAAGCGCACGTACAGTTTCAGCAGTTTTGTCCAACACTGCCTATCAGTGTAAAGTTGGCGACTGAGATTTACCTGAAAATGTCATTTATGGAAACAAAATTTAATCAAGGCACCCTTAACATTATTGCCTTAATCCACTATTTCCATTAAAAGCACTCTATAACACTTTATAATGTTCATATCTATGACTGTAATACACTACAGGAAGTGTAGGGGGCGATATGGCTTCTACTGTTTCATTTAAAAAGCCTCTATTATGTTCATATGAT